GAAGAGAGAGAGAGAGAGAGAGAGAGAGAGAGAGAGAGAGAGAGAAACAATAATATGTATGTACAAAGACCATTAGATAGATAGATAGATAGTCAGATAGATAGATAGATAGAGAAATGGATAGATAGATAGATAGATAGACAGATATATAGAAAGATAGATAGATATATAGATAGACAGACAAGAATTGAATGAATGAGAGAAAGACAGACAGAGAGAGAGAGAGAGAGAGAGAGAGAGAGAGAGAGAGAGAGAGAAAGAGAGGGAGAGAGAGAGAGAGATGCAGACACAGACAGAGAGAGAGACAGAGACAGAGAGACAGAGACAGTCAGAGAGAGAAGAGAGGGTTAATTCTGTTCCTGTTTGAGAAATGGTTTCGCCTCTGCCAAACATGTAACAGGAATGTTTTTGCTTATTATCTTTCGCTGACGAGATTCCAGTCCTGATGACAATACAAGACTCACACAACTCAACAGATGTGTTGAGCAAAAGAAAAGTAACTTATTACAATCATTTTTAAACATTATATTTGTGAATTGTGGTATGAGAATATAATATCCAAAAATGATAATAAGGTTCTTCGTTTTTTTTCTTTGTTGTTATCTGACTGTGTAAAGTATGGTCTACAGGCTTCAGAGCTGTGGTGGTTGGACGTTTCCCCGTCGCACGCCGAAGGCCTGAGTTCGATTCCCGTTTGGAGGAAATTTCCATCGAGTATCTCAGTCTACCTGTTCGGAAGCTGTATCCAGGAGCAAAGGCTGACTTGTTTGACAAAGTGAGATGGGACCAGATAGAGCCTGGAGATATCACACTCACACAAGTCACAAGAATCGTACTGGAACTGGAGGCGGCAACTCTGAGTTGTGAATGAAAACAAATCCTGAGTTCATGTTGTATGCATATTCAACCGCTAAAGTAATCGGGAAAGCATTTCATTAAACATTTATTATAACTAACCTAAAATTTAACTTAAGATTTGAACACACGAACACCAAGGGAAGAAGCAGGGATGTCAGTACTACAATGGCATGTTATACCAGACAGACGAAAGACTTTGGTAGAGCATGCCAATTATTAATTTTTCATTTCACATTTGGCTGTTTTTTTTTGTCTAGCTTTTCGCGGTCAGGAGCCGGTGTCATAATCGAGGTCACGATCTGATTATAGGACGTTAAAAAGTCGAGAAAAAAAAACAAGCTTTCGCAGCAGTCAAGATACTATTAGGAGTTAGTTCCCCTCACATATGTGAGGTAGACTCGACCAGTGTAATAGTTAGCTTACATAATCAACGAGTGTGGGTGCTTATAACTGTGGCTCGAAAGGGGTGAACAGGGTATATGCGGCAATGAAACAGTTTTGACTGCTATGCACCGAAAGGGGTGAACAGGGTATATGCGGCAATGAAACAGTTTTGACTGCTATGCACATGTTCCCTTCAACTCTATTGCTAGACTCTTCCAGCCTCACTTTAAGCTTACTTAATCAAAGCTTGTGACTGCTTATGGAGTGGCCCGATAGGGGCGAACAGGCTATTTCTGTGGCAATGAAACGGTTTTGAAGGTTACGCATAGTGTATTGTTCATTGGTGATTATGAACGTCTTTTTACATTTAATTTATGAGGTTTACGTCTACGGGTGACTTTGACTGCGACAATGTTTCAAATTTAGGAAGGAGAGCAGTGATTATTTGATTATATAGACGCTTCGCCTCTGGCTGTATCCCTTTAGTCTAGGGGAAGGGTCGAAGCCCGCCTTCTTAATTATCTTAATCAGATATAGAGAGATTTCGGCCCACAAGTCGACCTAGTAATTAACAATGAATGTGGTTCACAATAAGTTGATAATTGATCAAAACAAAACTGTCTCTGAAAATTATGAGCAGTCTCTTCCAACAGAACTGAAAGCAATAAATATAACATTTCTCTCTCATGAAGTGTCCTCGAGTCTCATACTAAAATGCTGTAGTGTCAGTTGTGTTCTCACCTTTGTGAGCTTGGGTATTTCAATAGATTTAACCAATTTAAAAAATCTTACTTTGGCAACACCCTACAACAATAATTATGCCGAAGGCCCAGGAAGTTATCTCACTAACAAGACAAACCCCAATGTCCGGATCGGATGCGGGAATAGCTTTACATTTTTACTTTTACTTTGGCAATATATTTGTAGTCGCATAATCCGGCCCGCGACTTGCCCATGTCTTATCTAAAGTGTGTCGATTGTGGCGCAAAATACCTTTTATTCATCAATTTTTAAAAATCTAATGGTTAAATTACTGTCTATTATATTAGTGATTATTTAACTGCTACCATTTCTGTTTTCCTGTCCTTCTGAGAATTCCGGAGTCTAGTAACTAGGTATATATGAGTCTTTTTAAAAATTGTCCATCGATCTTGATGATGGCTTAAATGGCATGCATAATACAACTGTTCCTGGTCGGTAGACATAGAGGAAGCATAGGAAACCTTACTATTGCCCCGAGTACAACTTCCTTCCCTTCAGATTTCGACTTACTTGAAATCCTCCACAAGAGAGACATGGTCAATCGAAGGTGTAAGGTTCTGGCTATTTTCTTAAATTGGGATTTTCTAATAATGGGTTTAGCCGTAAGATTGAAATTTCAAGTAAAGAACTTGAGAGTACCATTCCCACCTCGATAGGGAAGCACGTTGTATCATTAGCAGGGAGGGCGACAATGGTAGATCCTATTTCTTTTCTTTCCCTCTTTGGTTTCTGTTGGGACTTCTTTGCCCTTTCCCGCACAGAATGATCGTTATCATGTCGACATGCTGCTTTTTCCTCAAACAAACAAAAATAAACTTTAAAAAAAGTATCCTTTGGAAATGTAAAGTCGAAATTTCTCTAACATCCACCTGTCCCAGATTATCACCTGTAAAAACGAACGACCCTCCCCCCCT